TCCACTTTTTGGCGGACAAACAGAACGACATGGTTAGGGGGACTTATGAGGACTCTATTGCACAATCGGAGGTTCTAACGGGTTTAAAAAAGTAATTAACTTTGGCTATTCTTAAATCTTTCAGGTGTACAAAATACATTCCAAATTACTGCTCATTTGACTGGAAAATTTTGCTACGATTTTTACCATACTAAAAATTAATTTGATCCCTAACATGGGAATAAGATTGATATATACTTTTTAATGGATTTGTATAGCACATCCACAAATTTGAAGTCCACGTTTTAAATATTGAAGAAGAATTATGCTGGCACAAATAGATATATATATATAGTACCCCTTCAAGTCCACCTTTTGGCGGACAAACAGAATAAAACGGAATGACAAATTGAGTAAATCATGTAATGTTATTACTCAAATAGAGCTCTATTGACAACATCACCTGAAAGTAACATAGGCTATATACATTTTTGAAATTCCACTTGGATGTGGAGATATGCCATCAGAATCGGAGGTACCTTCCACAAAATTTAGATTTTGTAAGCACATATCTATTGATCGACTACAGATACAGTCCCAAATTTGGAATACGTAACGGAATTTGGAACAAAACTAAATTTGTCAAATTTTATTGAAATCGGTTCAGATTTGGATATAGATCCTATATATATTTTCGGCCGATTTTAAGCAATTGATGCACCAAACACGATATGTATGACCAATTTTAATGAAATTTAAAATAAGTAAATACACTGGTGGCCAAAACTAAAGCAAAGTAAAGTTACAAGGAGAATGAATGCCCTGTAACTTTTTTTAAAAAATAAGAAAATTAGAAAGTGTTTCTTATTTTAAATAAGGCACTTATTCACTTTTTAAAAACTTAAAACAAAAAACCAAAATTCACTTTCATACAAAAAATAATGTATGGTAAAGTCAATTAACCCAATTTTGGCTTGGACAAAAGAAAATCAACTCTGTCGTACATTCATATGATTGCTGCAATTTCAGTTGTTTTTGCTGCTATATTTATATAACATAAATATTATTATATATTATATTTATATTACATAAATATTTCTGTGATTTCTCGTATACTAAGTCAGTTTTATGAAATTGGATCAGTAGTAACAGTCTATAACGGTTGAAGGCTGTGAAAAACTTCAGCCCGTACTCTTCAACAAATTGTGAGAAAAATAAAAAAACAACCATTTAAGAGTTCAACTGAATTGGTGAGAGAGCTATCATTGGATATAAGCTTGAGATAAGTGCCTAGACGAGAAGTGGCAGCTGGTCTGCATGCCCGTAAGCCATCAAAAAAGCGATTTGAAAAAATCGAAAACCAGAATGGCTTTCGAAAACGATAATGTTAATTGGAATCCAGCTCAATGGAAAAATATTTTATTCTGGGATGAGTCTACGTTTAAAAAAAAGACTAAGACATGAAAAAAATTACGGTGAGAATACCAAAAAATGAAAAACTTAAGCCGCAGTGTTGCAAGGGTATAGTGAACCATGAGGGAGGATCAAAAATGGTGTGGCGCTGTTTTTCTTTCTATGGACTTGAGCCTATCCATGAAATAAAGGAAGTTATGGATCGGTTTGTTTACAAACATGTGTTGGACTTCATGTTGTTCCCTTTGGCTGAGGAAAATATTGGGCTTATTGGGCAGCATGACAATGGTCCTAAGCATGCATCAAAACTTCTTAAAGATTGGTTGCGGGAGTCAAAAATCGGTGTTTTGTCATGGCCGGCACAATCACCTGACCTAACCCCCATAGAAAACCTTTGGAGTATGGTAGACAGGAAGATCAAGCGAGAATCGGAAACAACTAAACACAACATTTTCCAAAGAATTTGGGGTGTCTACGAAAGCATACCCAAGGATCTAATTGAGCAAGTTATAGATTCAATGCCTCGTATGTGTGCAGCTGCTATCAAAAATGATGGGTATGCTATTATTATTATGCTACTAGCCAAAATTTAATTATTTTAAAATAAAAATCAAAAAGTTGCTTTAGTTTTGACCAAGCAAAAATTGGGTCTTTTTAATTTTCTATATTTTATTTTTCATTCAAAATTATTTCTGTATTTTTATTTTAAGGTTTTTTAAAAGTGAATAAAGTACCTCATTTAAAACTGGAAAAATACGATGTGTGTAATATTGTGCAGTATATATATATATATATATATATATATATATATATATATATATATATATATATATATATATATATATATATATATATATATATATATATATATATATATATATACTGCACAATACTTTCTATACACGTTATAGTATACATTTGCCAATCGACCTACTTATATAAAAATTTTTATTCTTACACTCCCTACCGAATGTAGTACTTTACATACACTATATAGCAAGTATTTCCAAAAATTTCCTTTGACTAACCCACAACTCTCTTCATAGCATATATCAAATTTACTATCTGGTCTGTTTCAGAATGGGAAGAATGTAAATGTTTTTACTACGATAAACGAGCTATCATTTCGTACTTTTCGTACCTGTTACATTACGGGTTTCTAAATGCACCTCTCTATCTAACCACTACACAGTGGCGCCTGTACCAGTATTCATAGTTCTGGTTCTATTCCTACACTCTATGTGAAGTATAGTACCAAGTAATAAATACTGTGTAAGTAGAACAGTAGGAATTTCCAAATTCGACTCCTTATCTAAACGCTTCGCATTCACAGTTGTCCTAATACAAAAATTCATAAAATATAAAAACTAAACAACATCAAAGACCCTAATTCAGAATTTCTCACTTCCAGCTCTATCCAACAAAATTTAATACCATTCAATATCATTTGCACTTTTTGGTACGTTATTCAAAATCCGCTTTCACACATTATACCAATCTCACAAAAAGTGAACGTAATACGAAATTTCAGGTTTCCAGCCCTATCTCTTTCTAATTTACTACTATACTATTTTCGAATGCTCATTTATAGTGTTTTTATACCCTCCACCATAGTATGGAGGGTATATTATGTTTGCAATTCCACAACGAAATATACATTTTATATCCAAAAACGAATATACATTCTTGATCAGCATAAAATTCTGTCCGTCAGTGGAAATCACTCTAGCTTCCGAACAAAATGAAGTAGGTTGATAAAATTTTAGTCAAATGTATATTATGTCTGCAGGACTTTTAGTATTTAGTATTTTAGTATAATGGTACCTACCATTATATTCTCCGGAATTGTTTCAAATTTGGTATTTGAAGTTCGTAATGGATACTACAACGTGATTATTTCACCGATATTTTCTTTTCAAGATTCGCATTTGAGTATTGTAATGGCAATTTTTCATACAGTGAAAATCGGTTATCGTAGTAAAAACATTTACATTCTTCCCGTTCTTATACAGACCAGATAGTAAATTTGCTATATGCTATGAAGAGAGTTATGGGACATTTTTGGAAATACTTGCTATTCGTGTATGAAAAGTACTACATTCGGTAGGGAGTGTAAGAATAAATCTGAAAATATAAAAGTTTGTATTAAGATCACTGTGAATTTCTTATTTTTATATAAGTAGGTCGATTTGCAAATGCTACCTATAACATATATAAAAAGTACTAAATTTGATAATATAGCAGAAAAAGAGCTAGATTTGTGCATTTTGGTACTAAGAACACTGCAAAATATATGAAATATATTTATTTTTTGAAATGGAAGAAAAATACAAAGCTACATATATCTTTTATATATCTTTTTTAGAAAAGAATCAGAAAAAAGTACGATTTTGTATATACGTAGCCTGAACTAAGAAATAGTGGCATTTAATTAAAAATCACATATATATACACTTAATATAAATTCCTTTTTACGCATACGAAGTAGCGGACATTTGCTAGTAATTAAATATCTTGACATCGTCATAAATAGACATAAATACATTGGACTTTTGCATAACATTTGTCACAATGTAAATAATACCAGTCCAAGGTGGCTCCCTGTGTAATGTTACAACGATTTTATTGGAAATGCCTGTACCAAATTTAACCATTTGGTGTACATCAAAGAATTGAGATTTTATCCTTTTCAGTAATAGATTTGAAAAGTCAATAGAGCTCGGTTTGAGTAATAACATTACATGATTAACTCAATTTGTCATTCCGTTTGTATATTCTCGAAATAATCATGTTAGACGCTACAAAGTAGGATTCGCTATAGATAACAAACCCTATATCAGAAAATTTTATAACCCATCTTAGGATATTTTTGAGATTCCAAATGAAATCCCCAATCGAATTTACTGGCATTTGCAGTTTTAAATGGAACTAGTTCGAATATTGAATCCCGACACTTTTATTTTTAAAGATTTTTTACATCATTGCGGAGGTTGTGATTTAAACAATTAAAAAACTTATTTGAAATTTTGAATTGCGAAATTTGGTAAATTATTAAGTATTGTATCGAGAATAATTGGCATTAAAATTTTAAGTTTGAGTTCAAGACTTAAATTTTAGAGTCTTAAAGTTGTTTATTTTTATCCGTTTTGATTATCTATTACAAATTTATAGGTCTATATGCGGCGTCTATATGCTTAGGGGCAATATCCTAATATCAAATTAAATTAGTGATAGAGTATTTCCGCCCAGATAGCATGTAATCCAAGACTCGACTTTGTCTCCACAGTTCTTTTTAATCGGCATTCTGTTGTTGTTAAGTTTTTACGAACAGACGAAATTTGCTGTGCTTAAACGTTGTTTAAATAATATTACATAAAAATCGAAATTGAATAATTATTTTTTTTATCGTGCGTTCTAAGAGGTCAATTAGTATCACGGTCTGCACTAGAGAATATATGAAGAGGTTATTTAACTTTTAATCGTTGCTTAATTTATACATCATTATCGCATATGTGTTTCCATCGAAGAAATGTAATTGAAAGAAACCACTTAAATTTCGGAAATTCGAATGAGCCGGAGGGAGATTATAAAAGTGCCACACACGGCCAAAGAAGTCAATTGCAATTTCGTGGGCAATTCGTTCGTACTACCTGGATTACGCGTAGTTAAATTGTTGATTTGTGACTTTTTAGTGCTTTTCTAAAGCTGAAAGAAATTGAAATAAATAAAATACAGTTACGACTCAACGGAAATCCTTAAAGGACACCTATACTAACATGTCGAATATGAAAATATTGGGAAAAGAATCGACCGTGTCCTCGCAATCAAGATTGTCGCGTATTTACCCCGAAAATGATGGAGATGACATAGTTATAGCGGGCATGGCCGGAAAGTTTCCCAATTGCCATAACATCGCGGAGTACGAGCATTGTCTATATAATAAGGTTCGTGTGTTAAATAGAGTTTGTGATAACATTAAAAAAAACAGAATACCGAATGAACAAATGCTGTTGACGGCAAACCAGGACTGGACTGAAGTAAAATGCAACGATATATAATAATACCAAAAAGGACAAAATAAGTGTGTACAGTTTAATAATTATAAAAAATTTAGATTCCGAAACAACTAAATAGTATGCATTTATAAACAATGTACAAACAATATTTACATGAAATTAATTAATAATATTGTTACTATGCTTTGAATTTCCAACAAATTACCATTGTTAAAGATTGCCTTGGCTTTGATCACATCGTATATAAATTAGATTTATTTTTTTGTTCCTCCTTGATTTTCACTACGGAAATGCGAAATAAATAACATAGCCAAAGTCCGCTGGCTAGCATTTTACGTTTGTACATTGCCACTTCGTGGAATAATTAAAGTGGACTGTATATGAAAATAAGAATGTGTCTATAGTCTATACATGCCAGCGTACGTGAAGAATATGAAAAGTTGCTTAGGGGACGGCATATAAAACATCTCATACTCAAAAAGTATCATAACGCAAACTAGTAAAAAAATAATTTAGATCGGCCGGACCGAGCATTTAATATGCCCCATCAAGTGAACAGTAAGCCTTTTTAAATATATTTCTATGTCATAGGTATCACCGTTTCCAACTCCGAAATTCCGTTGAAAATTGTAATTAAAATCATCCAAATACCAAATATCGGGATGTAGCATTATATGTAGGGTGAATTTTGAAATAAATAATAATAAATTTTTACAACATTATGAGTTGGTAAATTTACAGATATGGACCTGGCGTGTTTAGGTAATACGGACGTATAAAACTTTTTACCATAGTGGGGAAGATGAATATTTTTGTACACTATCATATAAATGTTAGTGCTTTACCTGTTTGGTGAAAAACTTCGACTGAGTGCATCGAATTTTAGATATCGCTGTCATATGAAATTAATTGGGAATCAAAATTTATCCGGTTACCACCAAAGCATAAAGAATTCTTTTTTCAATCCTTTTTAACGATAAATGTCATCGCTTTAACAAATGATTATGTTAAATATTAGACATTTATTTTGGTAGATTGAATCCATTTCGTGCGAAGACTTTAAATGTCTTTGTTTCGTGTTAGGACAGTTAATCGATTTACATTTAGATATGACAATCATAAAACAGTACCTCTGTTGTTTAGCAATGTTAAGCGATTTAAACCGCTTAGGCAATATGTAATTAATTGGGAAAGTCTATGGAATAGAATTTTGAAATCCATTTAAAGTCTTTGCTGTTGTTTGGTATTTCAAGTCACAATATGACGATAATAAAAATTCCCCTGCAACAATTTCCAATATTGTTCAACCCGCCGATTTTCGGTCCTTGCCAAATTTTCTGTTCTATGGAAATGTCAAATGAAAAATGTTATGAAGGAAATATTTTGCATTTCATATTTTCATAGAATAAGAATCCAGGCCCAGGTTTTGAAATACGCCACATATAACGGTAAGCTTCTAGACATATTTCTTAGCGTTTTGGAGTCGAAATGGGTAGAAGATTATTTGTAAAACATTCTATACAGTCTTAGTAGACCAGACATATAGCGGTTGATTTCTTCTCGTTGCATTTAATTTCCTTTTCCTGTTAAAATTTCCCATGTAGATCGACATGGTTGACGATGATGAACGCCGTTGGCGTCACTTCAATCCAGAAATTCCAAAACGTTCTGGTAAAATTTATAATTTGGACAAGTTTGATGCAACCTTTTTCGGAGTGCATTTCAAGCAGAGCCATACCATGGATCCGCAAACAAGAATTTTAATGGAAACTGCTTATGAAGCTGTTATCGATGCCGGCATCAATCCAAAAACCTTACGCGGCAGTAGAACTGGCGTCTATATTGGAGCATGCATTTCTGAATCGGAAAAAACCTGGTTTTATGAGAAAGTTTCATCGGGAGGTTTTGGAATCACAGGCTGCAGTCGTGCCATGATGGCAAATAGGATATCGTACAGTCTTGGATTGCAGGGGCCATCGTTTCTGATCGATACCGCCTGTTCGAGTTCGATGTATGCCCTCGATTGTGCCTTTAGTGCTATTAGAAGCGGTGAAATAGATGCGGCCATTATAGGGGGATCCAATCTGCTGCTACATCCATACGTCACACTTCAATTTGCTCGGTAAGCTAAATACACACATACATTTCATTCCAAGATACCCGTACGCCTTCTTACAACTCCTGTATTACGAGCGATTTTCTAAACGTCACTACATTGCATTCCCATTTTAATGTTGTTTTCAGGCTTGGTGTTTTGGCTCCCCATGGGTATTGTCGCCCATTTGACAAGAACGCGTCTGGCTACACTCGGTCGGAGGCCATCAATTGTCTCTTCCTTCAGCGGAAGCGTGATGCTAAACGAGTCTATGCAACAGTCGTCTATTCCAAGACCAACTGTGATGGCTTCAAACCCGAGGGAATTACATACCCTTCAGGCAAAGTGCAAGAGCAATTGTTGCGAGAATTTTATAGCGAAATCGATGTTGCGCCCAGTGATTTAGGGTATTTAGAAGCCCACAGCACGGGCACTGTGGTAGGTGATCCCGAGGAATGCCGTGCCATTGATAATGTCCTGTGCAGTCAGCGAAATGAACCTCTGTTAGTTGGTTCGGTAAAATCGAATGTGGGCCACTCGGAATCTGCTTCCGGTATATGTTCGTTAGTAAAGGCTTGCTTTGCATTTGAAACCGGCAAAATTGCACCCAACATTAATTTTGAGGAGGTTAAACCCGAAATAAATGCTTTGGCCGAGAAACGTTTGATTGTTGTTAACGAGGTAATGGAGTTACAAAAGCCATACATCGGAATCAACTCCTTTGGATTCGGGGGTGCAAACGCCCATGCCGTTTTGAAGGCATATCACAAATCAAAACCAAATAATGGTTTACCGGACGACGACTTTCCACGTCTGGTCACATGGGCTGGTAGAACCGAAGAATCGGTAAATACAATATTTGATGAACTGCTGAAGAGGCCCCTGGATGCAGAATTTATTGGACTCTTGCATAACATCCAAAAAGAAGATGTACCTGGAATGGTATTCCGTGGTTATGGTGTGTTCAGTAAGAATGGCAATGAGGCAGCAATTGCCGAAGTGAGAGATGTCCAGCACTACTCCGGCATTAAGCGCCCAATTGTATGGGTGTTTAGCGGCATGGGATCACAATGGACTAAGATGGGATCTGCACTGATGATTATACCGCAGTTCCGCAAGACCATTGAACGATGCCATGCTGCACTACTTCCGATGGGTTTGGACCTGATTGACATTTTGACATCCGACAACCCCTCCGTCTTCGAGAACATTCTGCATTCATTTGTTGGCATTGCCGCTATTCAAATTGCCTTGGTCGATGTATTGCATTCCCTGGGACTGGAACCGGATTACATTATTGGTCACTCAGTTGGTGAGCTGGGCTGTGGGTACGCCGATGGTGGATTTACACCCGAACAAATGATATTGGCATCATATTACCGCGGCAAAGTAAGTTTGGACATTGAAAAAATAAAAGGGTCCATGGCAGCTGTGGGTATTGGTTACAAAAAAATTGTGGGAATTCTACCGCCTACCATAGAGGTGGCATGTCACAACGGATCCGATTCATGCACTATTTCGGGTCCGTCCGAAGACGTAAGTAATTTTGTTGCCGAACTTAAAGCAAAGGATATTTTCGCTAAAGAAGTTCCATGCTCCAACATCGCATATCATTCGCGATATATTGCCCATATGGGGCCCCATCTGTTGAAATACCTGAAGGAAATTATTCCAGAGCCTAAAACAAGGAGTTCTAAATGGCTTAGCTCCAGTGTGCCTAAATCCGAATGGGACCAACCCGGTCGCAATTTATGCTCCGCCGAATACCATACAAACAATTTACTGAACAGTGTCCTGTTTGAAGAAACCTTTGCACTTCTCCCGAAGGACGCTCTCACAATAGAAATAGCTCCGCATGGCTTGTTACAAGCCATATTGAAGCGTTCAATGCCTAAGGGTGTACATATTCCCCTTACTCAGCGAGCCAATAAGAACAATGGGCTCTTCTTCTTGACGGCGCTGGGCAAGTGAGTTCCTATCTATCACAATATATCTGTCCGATGTTTACCTTCTTGGTTTTCGTGTTATTCCAGGCTCTTCTCCAATGGTTTGACATTTCCCGTAGAGAATCTCTATCCCCAGATTGAGTTCCCTGTTTCACGGGGTACGCCTGGTATAAGTTCCCTAGTCCGTTGGGATCACAGTGAAAACTGGTTCGTCACAACCTACGAGAACATGAAAACGAAAGCGAGTGGGGAACGCATGTACACGATCAGCTTGTCAAGCGATGATGAAGAATTCATCGGCGGCCATGTTATTGACGGCAAGATCCTTATTCCAGCCACATGTTACCTGCAGTATGTGTGGGAAACCTTTTGTCTCATGTTCCACGGTCCAAGTTATATGGACATTCCAGTAGAGTTTGACGAAGTTAAATTTTTACGTGCCACTCACATGGTTCCAAACCAGAACGTAAACCTTACGGTCATGATCCATTACGGGACTGGAAATTTCGAAGTAAGTATAAAACCGATGTAAGTTTTTGGTGCAGATAATACCCAATTGTGCCCTCATTTAGATTACCGAGTCGGGAACATTGGTGGTGACCGGGCGCATTACTGAAGTTGAACGGCCTACCATTCCCAAGCCAGTCGATATTGTACCGGAAACCGACTACCCAATGATGTCGACGAGGGACTTTTACAAGGAACTGAGATTACGCGGCTACCACTATAACGGGGCATTTAAAGCGGTCAATGAAGCCCGTGGGGATGGGCTTTTTGGGAAAATAGAATGGAAGTACAACTGGGTGACATTTATGGATGCCATGTTGCAGATTCAAATTTTGGGAACTGATTCGCGATCATTGCTACTGCCAACAAAAATTCGTAAACTGCGTATATATGGCGTACATCACTTTGATCTGATGTGCAAAATGGACCCAGACAATCGGGTCTTTGACGTTTACGTCGATTCGAAGAACAACCGCATTGTCTCGGGCGGCATTGAACTAATAGGTGTACATGCTAGTCCTGTACAGCGACGCCGTCCCCCAGGCATACCCGTTTTGGAAAAATACCAATTTCTACCCCATTTCCCCTCACCTGTTTTGGCAAAGTCTGACGCCGTCCGAGCTTGTGTTCAAATCGCTCTGGAAAACACGCCCGCATTGAAACTAAGAATTGTTGAGGTGGACACCGACGGCCGTGATTCTCTGATAACTGACTTTTTGGACTCAATTGAAGATCTGCCACAAGTAACCGGCGACTATATGCTACTCTCAAAGAGAACATTCCCGGATTTGCATACATCTGTGCACGTAGAAGATGGCAAACTGTCATCATTAAGTAATTGCTATTTCGTCATAATCGGAGGCCTGGGCGGATTGGTGAACGAGTCCACAATCAAAATTGCCGGGAAGTCACTGATTGAAAACGGGTTTATGGTGGTACGTGAGCGCACAGCCTCCAACATCGACAGTCTTGTTATTCCAGATAAATTTAATCTGATTGCTGCCATACCTTTGGACAACAACGAAGAAGTTATTTTGCTACTCCAATATAGGCCGAAGAGTGTGAATATTGTGGAACCAGTTCTGATAGAAGTCAGCGAATCTGATGATGAATTCAATTGGGTGACAAAAGTTCAACAAGCTTTGTCCACCAAAGTGCCGGTCGTCCTCTATGCCATTAACGAGAAGGTGAATGGCCTGATTGGTCTTGTTAATTGCCTCCGTAAGGAACCTGAAGGGTCCATTGTTTCGTGTTTCTTTGTGGATGATGAAAATGCGCCTAAATTCGCTCTATCGGATAGTTTCTATGCGAGCCAGCATGCGTTGGGTTTGGCTGTAAATGTGTATCGGCATGTGAGTACATAATATTTTTTTTCTAACTGGATGAACTAGTTTGTGTTTCTCACTTGAAGGGCAAATGGGGCAGCTATAGACACCTTCAACTTAGCTTGAAGGAAGAACCTGAGTGCAGAAAGGATCACATTTTTGGCAATGTTATACATCGCGGAGATTTGTCGTCATTGCGTTGGTTCGAGGGACCTCTGAATCCTGCCGATGCTGAAATTAAAATTACCTACTCGTCGATTAATTTCCGTGACATAATGCTTGCTACGGGCCGCCTGGCTGTGGAACTGTATGGTGCTGACCGCCTAAACCAGACCTGCGTGCTTGGTTTTGAATATTCTGGAATAAATACCAAGACTGGTAAACGCATTATGAGTATGGTTGTCAAGGGTGGTGTGGCATCCTACGTGGACAAACCATCCTCGCTAATATGGGAAGTTCCGCCGCATTGGTCCATGAAAGAGGCAGCCACTGTCCCAGTTGTCTATATTACGGTTTACTATGCCTTCTTTATGTCCACGGACATCAGGAAAGGCAAAAGCATACTAATCCATGCCGGCACCGGCGGTATTGGTATAGCTGCTATACGCACGGCCTTAGCCTACAATCTAGAGGTATTTACCACTTGCAGTACGCCGCAGAAGAAGAAATTTTTGCTGGACACCTTCCCTCAACTACAAGGTAATCTGGCGTAATCCATCGTCTGACTAATGCTAAGCCGAAGCACCACTTTATTTTCAGAATCTCACATAGGGAACTCCCGTGACACCTCCTTTGAGGAAATGATCCAACGTGAAACTAATGGCAAGGGAGTGGACTTTGTCCTCAACTCACTGTCTGAAGATAAGCTGCTGGCATCGATTCGTTGTTTAGGTACGTGTGGACATTTTTTGGAGATTGGTAAATTCGACATGGCCAATGACAGTAAACTAGGTATGAGCTGTTTCCTCAAGGAACTGACATTCCACGCTGTATTGGCAGATCGTCTGCTGTTCGCTTCAGTCGAAGAAATTGCTGTGAGTATACTTTTAAAATGCAATACGAATAAGCTGGGAGTTGTAGAGATTTAACATGGATTCCATTGCATGCAGCACCTGAAAAACATAATTGACACCGACATTGCCAATGGCATCATTCAACCCCTGCCCGCCACCGTATTTCCAGCTCACGAAATTGAACAAGCATTCCGCTACATGGTAGGCGGTAAGCACATAGGTAAAGTTTTGGTGCAAGTGCGAGAAGATCCGGACGAGGAGTACACGCTACCAGTGAAAGTTCTGAAGCAGGTCTATTTTAAGCCAAACCTTAGCTATGTTATTCCCGGTGGCTTGGGTGGCTTCGGACTTGAGTTGGCCGATTGGATGGCAACACGCGGTGCCAAAAAAATAGTGTTGAGCTCAAGAAATGGATTGTCAAAAGATTATCAATCCTATCGAATTGCGTAAGTACGGAAGTCCTTCAAGCGTGGATCGGCCATGAACCGCAGTTTACTATATCCAACACCACTCTCGAAATATTGGGTCAGACCCTCTGGATATTACAATCCGATCAGTATATCTCGACGAACTTCTCGATTTAGCTATATGTATCAGTCCGTCTGTTCGCCCATTGTAATTTCTAATCAGTCTCCAGGTCGCAATTATGGACCAACTGTCAAAAAATTTATCATGGTGGTCTAGGTCCATCAGGATATCCACCTATATGACGATGATCGCAAATAGTTAAGGGATGAAGTGAACCAAAAACACTACTTTTTTCCTTATTTTGTCGTCATCCTACATGCCACAATTACGGGCCGGTCGACGCAAAATTTTGCAAGATGTTAGAGTTTAGGAACAGAGAAGAAACTAATAATATTTAGCATTCTGCCTCAAATGTTTTTGTAGTCGTGAAAGTAACTTTCCGAGGGGATCGCAAGTGCTTATCCTATACGAATATTGATGACCAACGATATTATCTTCAATTATTATTTGTTATCATAGCTAAATATATAATAAAGACTAGAGGGTGGATTCTCTCATTTTAGCCAAAAGGGTTTCGGATCTACAGAAACCCTATTGTAAAATATAGTGGTACAGGGCACCGGCTGATCGGCCCCGCCCTGCTACAGATTTTACTTATTTGTTTCTTTTTCCTTCTTTCAGTTTATGGAAAACGTATGGATGTGAAATTCACGTAAGCACCCAAGACATTACCACTTATGAAGGATGCGTGAACTTGCTTGCAGAAGCTGAAAAACTTGGTCCAGTCGGGGGAATTTTCAACCTGGCAGTGGTTCTGCGCGATGCCATTTTCGAAAATCAAACCAAAGAGATGTTTATGGAATCGTTTGGCCCTAAAGCACGGGCGACCAAATACTTGGATGAACTTTCGCGTAAAATGTGCCCGAAATTGGAGCATTTCGTTGTTTTCTCCAGCGTTTCCTGCGGTAGGGGAAATGCGGGGCAAACGAACTACGGCATGGCCAATTCTGTTATGGAGCGAATTGTTGAGAAACGGGTTGAGGCTGGTTATCCAGGAAAGGCAATTCAATGGGGCGCTGTTGGTGAAGTGGGCTTAGTTGCAGACATGGCGGAGGATAAAATTGACATGGAAATCGGGGGGCACCCTGCAGCAACGTATTTCATCATGCTTGCAAGAATTGGATACACTTCTTAATGCACCCGATGCCATTGTATCGAGCATGGTAGTGGCTGAAAAGAGGGCAGCACGATCGGGTAGTGAGAGTATCATTGAAACAGTTATGAACATAATGAGTATTCGAGATATTAAGTCCATTTCCATGGGAACTACTCTCTCCGAGATGGGAATGGACTCCCTAATGGCGGTTGAAATTAAACAAACTTTGGAACGAGACTTTGATTTGGTATTGTCTCCGCAGGATTTAAGATCCCTGACATTCCAGAAGTTGGCTGAATTCGAGGAAGCTCGCAAACGCGAAGACGCTGAAACCGTAAAGATGATATTTACGTCGGACAGCCAAAATTATGGCATTGAGCTTTTGCTACGAAACTTGGGCGACGAGTCCCACTGCGACAAAGTGACATTACCATTGGAAACAGCAGCAAATGCCACTAGACTTCAAATGCCACCCTGTATTATTATTCCTGGTCTAGAGGGAACTGCTGGTATGTCATGGTACAAGATTGCCAGTGAATTGAACACGAGAGCGCTTCTGTTACAGTTACATAGTTTGCGGAAATGACATCGGTGAGTGAAATAGCTGAGGCTGCTTTTGAACACGTCAAGAGCGTGCTGAAAGTCAATGAGCCATTCTACATGATTGCTTATTCCTTTGGCTCATATGTGGCATTGCGGTTGACAGCTCTGTTGGAGAAGGCAGGCTTCCGCGGTAAATTAATGCTGATAGATGGTGCCCCGCATTTCCTCACCAAGTTGTGTCTGCTCCACATCGGCGAAGACTTTTCGGACTTGGAACTTTACGATTTTCTGTTCACCAGAATAATTACCCAAATATTCCCGGACACTAAAAAGGAATCGATCGGAGTAGAGTTCCATCAATTGCTGACACTGGATCAGAAGATGGACAAATTCTTGCAGTATGTCGAAAATCAGGACATTTATTCCAAAGACTATTCGAAGACCATAGTCCAAGCCATGTTCCGACGCATCCGCATGGCTGCCAAATGTGATCTGGCTTCACTTGAAAAGTTGAATACGCCTATTACACTCATAAGACCAGCAGAGGTATCGTTGCAGGACATCGACGAAGACTACTGTCTGCAGACCCTTACCAACGAAAAGGTAATCGTAAAAGTCATAGAAGGAAATCACACGACCATGCTGGATAACCCTCTTCTGACCCACTACATCAACGACTTTGATCCGTCCATTGACGATGACAAGAATTTCGAGGGTTATATTCGGGACACGAAATCGGTCCGAGTTGTTTAATAATAGGTAATTCCTAATACTGAATGAATCGACATGAAACCCATGTGCTAAACGAACGGATTGTATATTCAATATAATAATCTCTTTGTGAACAATCAAGCCTTATCGAATAAATAAAATTCAAAAATATTTAAATATACTCACAGCATTTGATTTACATATTTAATTTTTTATACCACTGTCATAAGATAGATTTGTAATTTATCACTCGGTAAATGATGTTAAAGTCTTGGTCTGGTCTGGTCGCCTTTCCATGCTCGTACTTTAGTCCGTCTACTGAAGTGATGGCCAAAAAATATAAATTCCTACCACCGCGGGCATGGGAAAAGTGAAAGTAAGTACACACACACTAGATACATCCCCGTGTAGCTTCATATGGTTGACGCATATGCCATTCGTTTGATGAGAGGCGCGCGGGCAAGGAAGTCACTACCAGGCAACTATTTGAGTAAACTAAAAAATAAAATAATTTTAATGAAAAATATCAATGAAAATGCACAATGAGTAATTTGTCATCGTATTACTTTGAATAAATTATATAACATGAGAAGGCATTCTTACTGTTGACATAGAAAATATGACAGTTTGAGAGGGCTAGACTTACCACTTAAAGACTTACTTGTGCCTAACGTTAATTTCTGAGTGTAATTCTAGTGGTTTGTCGATCGATAAATATCAATGGAAATGCACAATAAGTAATTTGTCATCGTATTACTTTGAATAAATTATATAACATGAGAAGGCATTCTTACTGTTGGCATGGAAATTATGTCAGTTTGAGAGGGCCAGTCTTACTACTTAAAGACTTACTTGACTTTCTGTTGTACTGTTATACAACCTTTCCTGCAGTACAATTCATATGCGTGCATATTTTTTATACACTTGATTTTAGGAAAAATATTTTTTCAAAAAAATTGTCCGATTAGTCTTTTATGAGTGCTTGAACTATTTTTAGTTTTCGAATACTCATGTCAGACCCACAAAGTAGTATATTCTTGATCAGCGTAAATTCTAAGTCGATTTAGCGATGTCCGTCTGCCTGTTGTAAACACGCTATCTTTCGTATGAATGAGATAGAAGGCTAAAATATTGCACACATGTTTATTTTTCCAGTAGGCAGGTTAACTTCGTAAATGGGGTCCAGGTCCACGTTTTCATATAGCTCCCATATAACGGAACCTCCCGATATTCGGTATTTTCATGATTTAGCGACATTATTCACTGGAATTGTTTCAAATTTGGTATTTGAAGTTCGAAATGGATACTAAAACCTAGGAGAGAATATTGTCCGTGGAAGTCCACGTCTTCGTATAGCCCCCATATAACGGTACCTCTCGATTTCGGTATTTTAATGATTTAGGCGACATTATTCACCGGAATTGTTTCAAATTTAGTATTTGAATTTCGAATGGATACTACAGCCTATATATATATATTATATATATTATATTATATATATATATATATATATATATATATATATATATATATATCTATATATATTTTATATACCCTACACCACAAGGTGGTCAGGGTATTATGTCTTTGTGCATTTGTTTGTAATAGGCAAAAGGAAACGAGATAGACCATATTTCCTTTTGATGTCTTCATAGAATCACATTCCGAGTCGATTTATGCAAGTCCGTCCGTCCATTGTCCGTCTTTTCATGTCTGTCTGTCTAACAGATGATTTTTGTACAAATCATTGGAGATAATCGGTAACATTTTGATATA